ACACAGGACAGAGCGGAGTTTAGGGCTGTTGTACATAGGATCGCTATGAGTCGCAAGCGACTCGACGGCACATAACAACAACAACATGAGGAAATGGAATGCAAGAAGGATTAAAACTTTGTAACACACATTAGATGTTTATGCAAATGAGGTTTCATTTTGCAAAGACATTTCCCCTATTTTCCTGTCTTTTCTCTCCTCCTCAGAGCAAGAAACAGTAATTACTACTGTCAGGATAACGTACCTTTGTTTTGAGCAGTAATCACATCTTTGTGTTTCAAGTCATTATTGACTTAACAGACACCACTCTTCATTTCCCTGCACAGCCTCACAGCAAAATTGCAATCCATTGAAATGGGAAGAGACCAAAAAGGTGAGAGCAAACAGGCCAAATCTAAATGAATGCCAGTGTCCCAGAGATAGGAAAGATTTAGTGACAGAGTATCTACTGGTAAAAGCCTTCTATTTATTCATATTAAAATGGCAATAATAATAATAATAAAGAAAGTTACTTCAATGAAAAAGGAACTCAGGAAGGAGGTCATTAAGGAATGAACTAAATGCATTTTAAATATAAATTCTATGGATTTCCTGACTAGTACCAGGTAAATCTCTTAGCTATCCTGAATTCTGATTTCAGAGAAAAAGTTCAGAGACAATGATAAAGGTGCTTCATATTATCAAGTCCATTTTTTTAGACAATGAAATCCTCTGGAGAAATCACTTCAGTCTTTCTTTTTATCAGAGATTTCTATTGGCCCGTTTACGTCTGCACACTTATAGTCTCCTTTGGCTTTAGTTTGATCACTGGGTTGCTGTAGACTTCTTTGAGGCCATATGCGATTAACAAAAGGGGCTACCAGAGGGTATAAGTATGGCTCCAGGAATTTTCTGTAGACCCAGAGCAGAATTGGAATGACGATGCATGGGATACACACCATTGTCTCAGGCTGTAGGGCTTACACTCGATCCCAATGCCAAGTGGAAAATCCATAATTTCTCAATCCATTCGATTGTGGTTTGACATCTGGGCTGCTTCCATGTCCTTGTATGGTGAATAATGCTGCTATGAACATTGGAGTACAAGTTTCAGTTTGAGCCTCAGTTCTCATTTTCTTGGGGTATATTCCAAGCAATGGAATAGATGGGGCGTATGGAATATCTATATTCAGCTTTTTGAGGAAGCGTCAAACTGCCTTCCAGAATAGTTGTACCATTTTATAATCCCACCAACAATGTATAAGAATTACAGGAGGGTCTTTTAATCACAAATTTTAATCACTTTTTTTTTTTCTTTTAATCACAAAGACCTGCCCACTGGATCCTGATTGGCTTAAACAAGAGGCTTACAGCCCACAAACAAATTAAATCAAAATTGTCAATCAGCTTACACCTGATTGTTAATTAAATAAAGACAGTTTACCTTCCAGAATCCAAATGCTTCAAATAGGGAGTTCTACTAATATGAAAGTGGAAATACTATCTTCCTATGCTTCAGAGAGCTGGATAATAACTAGGGAGGATAGAAGGAGAATTAATGCCTTTGAACTGTGGTGTTGGAGAAGAGTATTGAATATACCATGGACTGCTAAGAAAACGAGCAGGTTCATCTTGGAGATGAACTTGGAGAGTCTTAAACCAGGCTGCTCGTTGGAGGCAAGGATTCTGAAGCTTTGTCTAACATACTTTGGGCATGTTGTAAGAAAGGACCAGTCGTTGGAGAGGGACATCAAGCTTGGGAGGGTGGAGGGACAGCGCAGGAGAGGAAGACCCTCAATGAGGTGGATTGGTTCACTGACTGGGGTAATCGGGGTAGGTTGTCGGCTACAGTGAGATTGGCACAGGATAGAGCAGGGTTTAGGGCTCTTGTACATAGCGTCGCTATGAGTCGCAGGCAACTTGATGGCATAAAACAACAACAATAATATATATGGTCATTGGTGCAGTCCCTATTACATTTATCTATATCTTGTCTTTCAGCCAATATACCCCATACAGACTAATGTTTCTTATTGTTATTATTGCGGGATTGTGTATTTGTGTATATACCTTTGTTGACTATATTTCTTCTGCATTTTTCCAAGTCTTCTCTTTCTTTAGTAAAACTATGATTAAGTCCCCTTATTTTATATTGACTTTCCTTTCACCCAAAGGAGCTCTGGTGGTGTAGTCCATAGGGAGTTGCTTTTGCATCTCTCTGGCACTTCTCAAATCCATCAACCGTTCTGTAGGAGAAAAATGGACAATCTCTCTTGAGTAATTTACATGTGGCCTCAGAAAACCTGCTGGAGGGTCAACCATGAGTTAGTTCTGACTTTATAACAATGAGTTCTAGTTGGGGGGGTGGGGGGGTTGGCCCCTTGGTGGTTTGGCTTGTTTGTTTGTTTTCACCTATCTCAATGTGTGTCTATTATTTGTTTACTCATTTTTTCACTCCCCAGTAACCATCCAAGAATGTTTATTTCTGTGTGTAAACCTTTTTTTTTAGCTTTTATCATAGAAGAGGCCGTGGTACTAGGGATATTGTAGCTAATGTTAGATGGATCTTGGCTGAAAGCAGAGAGTACCAGAGGAATGTCTGTCTGTGCAAAGGCGTTTGAATGTGTGGATCACAATTATGGCTGACTCAGAAAGAATGGGAATCCCAGAACACTTGATTGTGCTTTTGCAAAGCCTATACTTGGACCAGGAGGCAGTCATCAGAACAGACCAAGGAAACACTACATGGTTCAAAATTTGGAAGGGTGTACACTGGGGATGTGTCCTATCTCCACACCTTTTCAATCTATATGCAGAACAGATTATCCTGGAGGCTGGGCTCTGTGAGGAGAAATGTGGCATCAGGATTGGAGATAGACTCATAACCAATCTGCGTTATGCAGATGACACAACTCTACTCACTGAAAATGAAGAGGACCTGAAGCACTTGCTGCAGAGGGTCAAGGACTGCAGCCTTAAATATGGATTGAAGCAAAATATCTCATCACTGGGCCATTTGGCATCATCAGGATAGATAGTGAAAAGATTGAGATTGTTAATAGCTTCAGTTTACTTGGCTCTACAATCAACACTTTTGGTACCTGGAGCCTGGAAATTATAAGACTAATTGCACTGGGAAAGTCTGTTGTCAGAGACCTCTCCGGAGTACTGAAGAGCAATGATGTCAGTCTGGAGACCAAGGTGCACCTGGTCCAGGCCATAGTCTTTGCAATAACTTTCTATGCATCAGAAAGCTGGACAATGACTCAGAATGATAGAAGGAGAATTGATGCCTTTGAGCTTTGGTGCTAGAGAAGAGTATAGAATATACCATGGACTGCCAAGAGACCAAACAAGTTGTTCTGAACTTCTCTGAAATAGCACAGTGAACTGAGTATGTTTGTGGTGACACTATAAGTTTATGGGAATTTAGAAAGGGGAGAGGAAAAGAAGTATTTGCCAAATATTAGCAGGAAAATGGTAATGTAAAACTTTTCACTTGAAAATATTAATGTTTTTGCTAACTGGAATGCCTTCCCTGATGTTTTTGCCGGCTGTGTAGATCTTCTCACCATATGAATAAAGGTTAGAAGAAGGGGAGAAATAAAGGCTGCAACAGTACATAGTTAGGGATTTGCTAGAAGTATGAGCAGGATTTGGAAAAGGCCGTGGCACCAGGGATATCATTGCTAATGTCATATGTATCCTGGCTGAAAGTAAAGAACACTAGAAGAATGTCTATTTGTGCTTTATTCACTATACAAAGAATTCGACTGTGTGGATCATAACAAGTTATGGCTAACATTGAGAAGAATGGGCATCCCAGAGCACTTAATTGTTGTCGTTGTTGTTATGTGCTGTCGAGTCGCTTGCGACTCTTAGCAACCCTATGTACAACAGCCCTAAACACTGTTCTATCCTGTGCCAATCTCACTGCCTCTGACACACCCATCCTGATTAACCCAGTCACTGACTCAATCCACCTCATAGAGGGTCTTCCCCTTCTGCGCCATCCCTCCACCCTCCTAAGCATGATGTCCCTCTCCAAGGACCTCTCCCTCCTTAAAATATGTCCAAAGTATGTCAGACGAAGCCTCAGAATCCTTGCCTCCAAGGAGCAGCCTGGTCCTCTCCAGGATGAATCTGAGTGAAACCAACAGGGGCTGCACAACCAACTCTTCCAAAATGTTGGAGATTCCGCCCTTTCGGACATTAATGCCTGCGGTTTTTTTTCTCCTTGAGCATGCCGGTTCCTCAGCTCGGTTACTGTAGAAATGGGATTCAGGCCTGCATTTTCAGCTAGTGTGGAAGGAATGAATTCCATAGCATCGGCAAAAGCACAGACACAGTAGGATTCCATGCCGCTCAAAGTCTGAGAGTATAAGGGGAGCTCTGGTGGCCTAGTGGTAAGAAGCTGCAGTGCAATCTCAGAGGAACACGGTTCGAATCCACCAGACGCTCTGCCGGAGAAGGAGGCGCAATATCCTCCTGTACCAGTCAGATCTGATTTGACGGTACACGCACACAAAATTTAAAAAAAAAAAAAGTCTGAGAGTATTCAGTTAATCGCAGGACCTACTCGATTTCTGGAGCGCCACCACCTGCAATAAGGGCTCTCTTTTTCACCAAACAGCGCAGAACACACAGGGCATCGTGGATGGAGCGTTCAGCTTCTTCAATCACCAATTTCTTAGAACCACGGACAACAATTGTAACTGTTTTCCGAGGGTTTAAACAGCCTGTGATCTTGAGTAGCTTGCCAGAGCCTCGGAAAACAGTTACAATGTCCGAAAGGGCGGAATCTCCAACATTTTGGAAGAGTTGGTTGTGTAGCCCCTGTTGGTTTCACTCAGCGCTCTGACTCTTGCAACTGAAACCGTCCGGAGCATTTTGAAGATCGATGGCGTGGTGAACACTCGGTAATCTGGCTAACACTGGCTGATAACGACCATGAGTAGTGCAGCGGGACTGGATGTTCCCCGTTTGGAAGATTGTTTGCCCTGTGAACTCTTAGTCTTGGACATTTGGTTGAAAGTAACTGGCACGATAACAGCCTGTGATCTTGAGTAGCTTGCCAGAGCCGTTTAAGCTGAGTTCCTCAGTGAGCTCTGCAGACCCGAGCATGTCAGCAGTGAATTGATCAATATGAGCAACGGGCTTGGTTCCAATCGTCTTGCAAATGAATTGTCTTCTCTTTCAATATCTTTAACTACCATAATCTTCATTTTGTTCAGGAAATCTAACGCAAGATCACTAAGAGCATCTCTTAGAATAGATTTCTGGATAAGAAGGACATTACATGCTGCTTTTTTAATTTGCTTCACCAAATTGAGAATGTAGGCTCTCTCTTCTCACAGCACTTGGTCCATCTGGACATAGCCAGAAACTACTATCTGGTTATCCATATCTGTTTTTGGAGCAGATAAGTGAAACTGAATACGCCCAATTTTAGCCTTTTCAACCCTGGTTATGCTAGAACTTGCCAACTTCTGGGTAAATACCAGTCCTTCTACCAATTCAGAGTCATCAATTTTCCCCCCAAGTTTCTTAACTATTTTAATATCTCTAAGATCTATGCTAGTAACTGTGGCTGGGTCAATCACTCTCACTACTGCATTCACGCTCATGGGAGAAAGCAGGCTGGAATACTGAGAGACAACCTTTGAATTTAATGATGTGGTTGCGCTATTTAACAAAGTTTCTCTGCCGCTCAGTTTCACAGGTCGAGACATAGCAACCAAGATTTCAATCCCCTTGTCCAAAGCCTTCTGGAATGACTCAGAAATGATGGTTGGATGGATCCCTTTCTGAAGAAGTTTAGTACAGGAATCTAAGAGAGAACCAGCAATGATGACCACTGATGTAGTACCATCTCCAGCTTCTTTATCCTAAACTTTAGACAGCTCAACCAGCATTCTTGCTGCTGGATGTAACACTTGCATTTGTTTTAGAATGGTGGCAC